AACTTGGGAATAGTCAAGGCTTTCGTGCCTGGAGTCTGGAGGATGCTGCCCACAGGTTTGTTATTTGAGACTGACACATCCCTCCTCCATGTGGGGTTGGACTTCAGTGTTAGCAGCTCTGGCAGCAGGGTCAGCCTACCTGCAGGGTTTGTGTGTGACCTGGATGCTCCCCGCGTGGATGTGCAGCTGTTTTGTATTTGCTGTGCGGCTTGGTGCAGCCTGGTTATCCGAGGTGGCAGACAGTCCTTCTGCCTGCTCTGAACCTCCACCCTCAGTGAGTTCCCCAGCAACCTTCCGTGCATCCTGAGGCCTGCGTGTGCTCAGCTCTGTGCAGTGCTCACGAAAAGGCCAGAGAGGAGGGAGCCCCAGGCTTTGCCCTTGGAGGCTCTCAGCCTTGCGCAGAAGAAGGTAAACTCTTGCTCCAGGAGCCCCTGGGCTGGTTGGAAAAACATGACCCTTTTATAGGGGTCAGTGAGAGAACAATCTGAGCAGCTGGACCCTTGGGGATCTGGAGCAGTCATGGAAGCCACCTGGAAGACCTGGGGCTGAAGCTGGGCCTTGAGAGGGGCATGAATTAGCTCAACCTCCTTGTGCAGGGCCAAGGACGGGGGTCTGAATGCCCTGGTGGGAAAGCTGGTTATTAGGAGCTCTCCAAGGTCCCCACCTGCAGAAACGGGGAGGAATGAGGAATGGTGGTGTTCTGCTGTCCACGGTGCTGAAAGTTCTGGTCCTATGCAGTGGCCTCAATCCTTCAGTAAATACTGCTTTCTGGCCCTCCCACCTCTCTGCCATCAGCTTCTCTCCATCGCCTCTTGTCATTTTCTGTCCAGACAGCCAACAACCACATTGCTGTGCCTCCACCATGTCGCTATCACTCTCTCCTCCATGCCCAACCTGCCTCTTGCACTCTTTCCCCCTAACTGCCGCTGACAAAGGTCCCTCGTGGTCCCTGTCTCCCATGGTCCAGGTCTCCCCAGTTAGAATATCAGAGATGGGAGTGCCAACCTAGGGAGCATTTGAAAGTGATATAGGGATGTTTGAGGGTGTCACCATGGCCCAGGTGTGCTAATGGCATTTAGTAGATTGGGAATTCCCATGCAGCAAAGAATTGATCCACCTGTAATGCCAATAGCATCATTAAGTACCAGTGTGCTTTTTCCGAGAGTTGAAACTGAGACCAAGAGGAAAGAGACTTAGCCATGGTCACCTAGCCATCCAGTGACATAACTGCATTGAGAATATAGGCTCCCATTTCCCAGCCAGGGTTCTGGACCACACCAGGTCACTGCCTGAACCAGGAACTCTTATAAAAGTGTTGGGCATCTGAAAGACGAGCAGCCTGTTATAATGGGGGCTTTCAACAGGCCCGGGCCAGTCTGGGCAGAGGCGCTGGGCTTCCCAGACCACACAGCTCTGCCAAAGAAGACCCTGCTGCATCGTTCAGGTCCTAATACCCCTGGAAGGCCACACCACACACCATCAGCATCGATCCTCGGCAAGGGCACCTGTGTTGCTGTGGTAACAGGCACCCACCTCTCTGCATCCAGCCCCGCAATTCCAGCCTGACCACCTGCCCTCAGACTTTCTGTGCCCATCCTTCCATGGCTCCCAGGTTGATGGGGGGGATTCTTTCTTACTCTTTCCTATAAGAGGCTGTGCCTGAGGGCTCAGCACCCTCATTAGCGACAGCAGATGGCTCCCCTAAAGAGCGGGTTGTACCTGTCTTCCAGTCCTTTGGTGCCTGATGTCTGTAGTCAGAAGCTCATCCCCAGGCAGGGATGCGCCCCCAGAAGGAAGCCCCCTCCCACCCCCACCTCCCGCACCTCAGACCCTGCTTTCCAGGGTCCCGCAGACCTGAGTCAGCTCTGTCCAGCCCACGTGCACTGGATGGCTAATCCTGAGGGGGCATCCAGCGACTGTAATATGGTCTCTGCCTACTTGTCTGTCCCCTGGGAGCTCAAGTCCGGTAGCAAAAAAAAGAAGGTTTAGGTCCAAAGAGATGAATTTCATAGTGAACTATGGCAAATGCTCTAAATAATAGACTTTAGATTTTCAGACTATGAATGGTGGCACAATAGTGGGTTATGAAGTCAATGTAGTGAGTCATGACCAGCATTTGTCTATGACATGAATCAAAAACATTACAATAGAAAGAAAAATATTACAGCTGTCGTCAAGATAAATTTTGCTTTTTGAAACTGGATTCAGTGGTGTGCGTATGTGTGTGTCCTGGATTATAATATAAAATGTATGTGTTTTGTAGTTCAAGGGCAATCATGTGTGAAAGCTATGGTTGGAGAGAGGGGAAGATACAGAGGAGGGAGGAGAAAAGAAGGTATTTTTTTAGAGGAAAAAAACAAGGGATTGCTTCAGTCCTAGGGTGTGGGGAAGGCTTCAGGTAGAAGGTGGCGTTGATTCGGGGCATAAAAGGTAAGTAGAGGTTTATCTGTGAGCAGTGGGTGAGAATGAGGAGGGTGCTTGAGGGACGGATCTGCTCACAGGGGGTGTGTCCCAGGCCTGTTGGTGCCAAGGCAGCTGCCACACACGGTGCTAGAGACGGGTGAGGAAAGTCGGGCTGGGGCCTGGGTGTCGAGGGCCTTAGCTATCGTGCCAAGAAAGTGGCACTTTATTCTTAAGAGCACTAAAGAACCATTGATGACTTTTGAGCAGGAATCCACATGGTCCAGGGGGAGGTGAGAGAGGAGGCTGTCATGCCCGTCCAGGCAAGACACCTAGAGAGGGTGGAAGGACGCGTGGGAGAGCAGTGGATTCCGGAAAAAGAAATGGAGGAGACAGAATCCACAGAACTTTGGCCCTGAAGGGTGTCAATGGGAGGGACAGCAAATATTTCCAATAGGCAGGATTTCTATCCTGATCCCACTACCCCTCACAAGCCCACCCCATGACCAGTGCCACTGTGAAGGGCCATGCTTGTGAAAGGAGTATTCTGAGGCCCTGACCTCGGGAAGTCCCCACACTGATCAGAGAGACCAGACACTCACACCTCAACAACTCAAGGCTGAAATGTGGGGCTCAGGATGTCAGGTCTAGGGGTGTCCAGGAGAGAGAGTGAACCATGGGACCAGAGCAATCAAGGAGGCCTTCCTGGAGGAAGGAGCCTAGCGATGAACTTCGCCTATGAACACATGGCAGATGAACCACACGCAACGTCAGGGGCTGTGTCACCTCACACAGACCTGTTTATAGGCCCCTTAATCCCCCTTCAGGAAAGGACTGTTCATATCTCAGTATGACTTCCCCTCCCAAAATACATTTACTCCTTTAGTTCGGTGACATCACCACCCCTCACCTGTTGATGTAGTCCCTCCCTTTCTGGAGCAGGAATGTTGGTAAGGAAAGATGATCCTATGCGTCAAAGTCTCAGAGCCCAGCTGGGGAGCTGGGCGCCTGGGCAGGGGTGAGGAGGAGGGGTGGCACCCCTGGGCAAGGGTGAGGAGGAGAGGGTCTCCTCATGCTGGGCCGGAATCAGTGTCAGGCCAGGGCGGTCCCCTGTCTGACTGACGTGGGGGAAGGAGGGTGTGTGGGGGGAGGGCAGGGCCCTGCCAGAGATGGGCCTCCAGGGACTGAGCTTGAAAAATCTATGAGCTCCAAGCACCAAATTAAAAAACAATTAAGCTAATAGAATCTCCCCCTTGTTTTTGTTCCTCAGCAAGTGCTCCTTAATAATTCTGTTGCTTTTAACTCACCGGCTCAACGGAAGTCGATTTTTAAGTAACTTAATTATTTCTGAACTCACTGCTTCCAAAAACAATCTAAGGTTTCCCCTCCAGAGCTGCGACTCCATGCTCTATGAGCTATTTATTATAATTAGCTTTATATTTTATATCTAACATAAGCCAAAAAGAAAAGTCCACAAACAACTGCCCGTTAGCCAGACGACAGAACTCTGGTACAAATTCCCCCCAAACAGTGGGCCGTTTGGAGTTTGTCATCCGGTGGGAGCTGGTCAGATCCGTGCTAATGACTAAGGCAGACCAGAGGCAGATGAGAGCTTTGGGCCTTGGGGGGACAGGGGGCAGGGCTTCCTCCTGGCAGAGGCTGAGCGTGGGCCTGGAGGGGGTGACTCAGGAGCTAGACCTCGAAGGTCAGCGCTAAGATTGAGAAAAAGGCAGGTGTGAGCATTTTTCAACCTTCACACATTCCCCTTTGAGAAAACCTGCATTTTTGCACGTCCAACATGGATGCTCTGCAATGCGTTTCCACACATCACATTCCAACTCTAATACGGAGGCCGGTTCTTGAGTACTGAGAGACACGTCACCTGGCGGGCTCCCAGGCGGCCGCACCTCCAGCCCTTGAGTCCAATTTCCCTCACTGCTGTTTACCACGACCTGAGGCCTAAAGGTTAAGATCTTCTGGCTTTGAATCATCCTCTTGTCATCTTTGCATTTTTGGCAAGCCGCTTAATCGCTGTGTGCCTCAATTTCTCCCTCTGTGAAATGGGTTGATATTAGCACCTACCTCACAGTGTTGTCATGTGGGTTGAATGGGTAAGTGTATCTAACGCTGTCAGCAGAGGACCTGGCATGTAGTAAACACAGGCTATACAAATGGTAGTGGTTATTAAAGTGGAAGCGTGATATTGGTGAAAAGAAGTATGAATCTCATAAATAGAAAATGATTGAGATAAGGATGGAAATTATTTGGCATGCTGAAAACAGTGAATCTTCAGCCACAGCCCAGTGTTCGCCATTTTGATTCAGTTTCAAAACAAAGGAAAATAAAAGAAAGTGTACAAAATGCTATTCAAAGATTGCATCTAAAATGGGTTTTAGCATGGCTTTTAGCTACAGTGTGAGATAAAGCTTCTGTACTATTTTCACATAAATGACTTTCATGTAAACTTTCAGACACACATTGTGTTTCCTGGCCCAGGGGAGCTGAGGAATATGGGCCTTTAACATGGGGGCACCAGGGAGCCAGGGAGGGTTCCTGAGGAGGGGAGTGCCTTGACTCTTGGCGGTTGGCATCTTTTGTAGGGAACGCCTACCGAGAATGCTTGGAGAATGGGACGTGGGCCTCACGCATCAACTACTCACAGTGTGAGCCCATTCTGGATGACAAGGTAAGCAGCCCCCTCCTGCCTGATCCCAGTCCTCATACAAATATTGGGATGCATGCTGAGCACAGAAGATCCCAAGGTGGCAGAACTAGTCTCTGTGCCACCCAACCACTCCTTTTCATACCTCCTGCCCTTGCCCTCAGTGTTGTGCCCTGCACTCAGTGACACAGTGGTGGGGCTGGAGAAGGCCATGTGGCCACACACCTTCCTTCCTCTCTGGGCCTCAGTTTCCCCATCTGGCATTCTGATTCTGTGACTCTGTGTGAAAACACGTGCAGCCCCACAAGGACAGTGCCCCCAGGGAGCTGGGTCCTGCTGGGACCTCCCATCCCTACCCAGGCTCTTGCTCTGAACTGGATTCTGTGCTGCCAACGTGCCAGCCTCTTCCCTTTGACTCTACGCCTCGTTCCTGAGCCAAAATGATACGTCCAAGCCCCCACCCCCACCTTATTTACCCAACACAGTCCTCAGTGGGGCTGGAACTTTTCTCCAAATGAAGTTCAGATCCAGAGGGAAAAACATTTGCTTGCTCTGAGAAAGCGATTCTGCCAAACGTGAGCCAAAAAGGTTCTGCCATGAGTCCCCGAGAGGGGCAGGACGGGGCAGAAGGTTCGAGAGAACGAGGCTCCCTCCAGCCCTCTGTCCTCACACCTCCCTTCTTACAGCACCCCAGCAGCAGAGAACCAGAGTGGGGGTGAGGGGGGTGGCCCTCCCTGGCAATAAGGACTTTGTTTAGAGTCGCCAGCTTGTGGTGATAATAAATAGTAGACTGACTTTGGTTTGAGTAGTGTCCTAAATCTTCTATAGACCGCACCCTCACTAATGTAGCCAGGGCAGACCCATCTCCATGCCCCCCCCAGGCCTCCCATAGCTTGCTGCTTCTGAGGCAGGAGGGCAACTTGTCCCCATTGTACAGACCTCAAAACTGAGGCCCAGAAATATAAATCAACTCACCCTCAGTCGCTTAGCCAGCTGGGGTCTGAGCTGAGACTAAACCCAAGTGTGGCCTTCTAGAGCCTAGAACTTTTAAAAGAGTCTGTACCCACACCTCTCCAGAGGTGTTCCCCCAAATGCACGTTGGTGCGGGTGTGGTGGCACGCACCTGTAGTCCCAGCTACTCAGGAGGCTGAGGCAGGAGGATTGCTTGAGGCCAGTAGTCCAGGGCTGCAGTGAGCTATGATCGTGCCTGTGAGTTGTCGCTGCACTCGGGCCTGGGTGACAGAGTGAGGCCTCATCTCCTAAAATAAAATGAAAAGCATGCTGGGAGGCCTGACCACAGCCATTTACAATAACAAGAGCTGCCCAGGGTAATAGGAGCGAGCTCTAGGAGCCACTCTGTCCAGGACACACGGTGGTTGGAGTGCCCAGCCCCACCCCACATGCCCCTGCCTCCCCCTGCCCGTCCGTGTCTTTCCGGCAGAGGAAATATGACCTGCACTACCGCATCGCCCTCGTCATCAACTACCTGGGCCACTGTGTTTCCGTGGCGGCCCTGGTGGCCGCCTTCCTGCTTTTCCTGGCCCTGCGGTGAGTCCTTCCTCCTGCCCTGCTTTCCACTTGTCCCTCCTCCCACGGTGCCCCCACCCTGCCCGGCCTCTCCCAGACAGTCTCACCTCCTGCCCAGGGGCCCAGGAGCCAGTGGACAAAGGGGGTTGGGGCTGGTGCCAGCACCCAGAGTGCCGGCAGGCACAGGGGGTGGACAGGGGGACTGGACTCGGAGGGGCCCAAGCATGGCCACCTCGGGTGGGGACTGGTGTAGCTCTGCCTTCACTCAAGCGGAGTCTCCCCGCCTCAGGGGGAACCCGACCCAGTTGGTCCCCAGCCCTGGTGACCCCTGACCCGGGCCCCCCACAGGAGCATCCGCTGTCTGCGGAACGTGATTCACTGGAACCTCATCACCACCTTTATCCTGCGAAATGTCATGTGGTTCCTGCTGCAGCTCATCGACCACGAAGTGCACGAGAGCAATGAGGTCACTACTGGGGAGACTAGGGCGGGGCTGGGGGACTCCGGGGACACCCACCTCTCTGCCCCACACTCAGGGGCAAAGCCAGGCCTGAGCTCTCCTCCTCCCCAGTCACGGTCCCACCAGCGCAGGGGGCTGGCAAGCCGGGGGGCTTGGGGGCTGCACAAGCCCGCTCTAGACTTGAAGTTATCCTATTCCACTCCTCATCTGTGAATCCAGGTCCCCCCAAAAAACCCCTTTGAGAAAGGAGGCTGGAACTAACCTCTGTTGAGCTTCACCTCACTTAATCCCAGCAAGAGACCAGTGGATTATCTTCCCCATTAGGTACACAGGGACTCTGAGGCTCAGGAAGGCTGAGGGACTCCCCAAGGTCACACGCTGCCATGATGGCTCTACATTGTGGGTCATCCCACCGCCACCTGGCTTGACCCTTAACTTGCCCCGCATTGAGCCCTGCCTCGGCACCAAACATGTCCAAACTGGGGTGCCTTCCAGCCCTAGTGTGAGCTTGTCCTGATAAGACATCGTTAAACATGGAGAAAAAGCGGGGGGCGGGGGGGACCTTTAGCTCCCTCCGCAGGACTTGCTCAGAACAAAAAGACAGCAGCATGTGGCCAGGGAGCAGCTAGCAGCTCAGCAGGGAGGCTTATCAGTGGGACAGAGGGAAGGTGGGCTGTCCGCAGAGAGCCCCGTCACAGAGTCCCCTGGCCCCTAGCTGGCTTGGATCTTAGCCTGCCGGTCGCTCACTCCCCGCATCCCAGCCTGGGCTCTGAGGGTGCCCTGGGGCTGAACCCCGGGAAAGATGAGTGGGTGGGTCTGTTGAGAAGGGCAGTGGCCCACAGGGTGGCTCTGGGCAGGCTCTGCCCTCCTTGCACCGCAGCCTTGCTCAGAGGGACAGGGACACGTTCCCCTCCCCTGGGAAGGCGGTAACAGCAGCAGCCACAACCAGGACACCCACACACATTCCCTGGGGCCTGCCTTTGCCATCCTTCATCTCCTTTAACCACCCGCGGGGCAGCATTAATTACGATGAGGTTCAGCAACTCCCTGGAGGTTCCACCGTTAGCCAGTCCCCCTCCAGAGCCGGTGGTGATCACAACAAGTCCCGGATTCCCCAAAGCCAGGGTCTGGAGAACCACCTCATGGCGCAGCGCACCTGCACGTAGCCTTGACTCGCTTCACTCACTGTTTTTTTTTTTTTTTTCATTTCTTCTAAATGAAATTTCATATTCCCTCCCTAAATGGCAGCCAGTCTGACTTGCTATGGATTGAAAGTGACAAAAAAAAAAAAATGACAATGAAAGCACAAGGAGGTTATTCAATTCCAGCCTCTGCCTGCAGAAAGCTCAGAGCCAGACTCCCTCTTCCTTTTTTAAAAAGAGAAATTAGAAAAAGCTGGAGAGAAGTTAAAAGTGGAGAATGGCTCCTTCACTCCTTCTGAAAGAGTGAAAGAGCATCTCGAATCTCAGGGTGAGAGTCGATGGCATTTGGTGCCGTGTCCGGGGGCCCCCTCTGGGAAGCCCTGTTCTCGGGCCTGCCGGGGTGGGAACGCCCCTGACAGCCCTGCCCTGCGCAGGTGTGGTGCCGCTGCGTCACCACCGTCTTCAACTACTTCATGGTGACCAACTTCTTCTGGATGTTCGTGGAGGGCTGCTACCTGCACACGGCCATCGTCATGACCTACTCCACCGAGCGCCTGCCCAAGTGGCTCTTCCTCCTCATCGGATGGTGTGAGGACCCCAGGGGCAGCGAGGCCTGTTGTTGGGGGGGTGACAAGGCCATTTCCCTTCATCTTGGGTCCGAGGCCGAGCACCCAGCCCTGCCCGTCACCCCCACCCAGCACAGTCCCCAGGAGGGAGCCCTTCCCTGCATGCTGCTGGGGAAGAAGTGGAGAGTCCCTCCAAGGGTACCCCACAACAGCCCCCGCCCCTGCCCGGACGACCAACCCAGAGACCTTTGTCTCTGGCTTCAAAAGAGAAACTAGGTGGCTCTACTTCCTACCACAACACCTCAGGCAACAGTGCTGTCCCTGCTTGGAGAGAGGCTGAAAGTGGAGGGTGGGGTCTAGGGACCGGCCAGCTCTGGGGTCATGGGTAGCCTGTAGGCCCCACCGTGTGTTCTGCGAGAGGCCTGCCCATCTGTCCACCACAGCCCACGTATGTCCTTGCAGGCGTCCCCTGCCCCATCATCGTCGCCTGGGTCATCGGCAAGCTCTACTATGAGAACGAACAGTAAGTGGGACGGGCCAGCCTCGGGGGCTCATGCAGGGGTGGGTGGGACAGGTCAGCCGGGGTCTCCAGGCAAACGTGGGGCAGGAATGGTGGCCATGCCTGGCCAGGTTTGCTTTCCTCTTGTCCTTAAATGAGGAAAAATTCCTCTGCACCCAGAGGTACTCAGGGGGGAGATCTCAAGGCAACTCCGCTTGTTGAATTCGGTTAGGAACTGTGTTGCTTGAAGTGCCCAGTGCATGACCCCTGTGGTCTCTGGTCCCTCCTCCTCAGACTTGGGTGCGGCAGGTCTGGCGTGGGGAATATGGAAGAGGCCAAGGCCTTGGGGCTTTCGGTCACACGGCATCCAAGGCTGCGTCTGTGAGCGTTCCACAGTGTCCAACGACGCAGAGCTTGTCTGTTCTGCCATCCCAGTCTCTGCCTGGTGCAGCGTCCCATGCCGGGGTCCTCCCTGCACCAGAGACTCTGATACGCTGAGCCGTGGCCCCAACGGCAGCAGCTCTGGCTACGGGCCAGCCAAGGAGCGGCCAGAAGGCCAGGTGCCACCAGCTGAGAGAAGTGGGGGCTGGGGAACAGGGGTCTCTGTGTGCAGATCTCCAGGGGTCTCAGAAGCCGGAGGGAGCAGGTGGGATTTGGGGAGTGGGGACAAGAACTAGGAACTCGGCATTAGGGAAGAGGTCATAAGGGTAAAAGCTACCCAAGAAAAAGAGGGCTGCCTGGGTAAGGTAGATAGTAAGCGTCCTATCTGCAGTGGCATTCAAGCAGAGACCAGAAACCCTGGTGCAGAGAGGCAGCTGGTGAGACTCGTGAGGCAGGTGTGCACTGGACAACCTCTGCGGTGCCAGAAGATACAAAGTTCCCAAAGTTGATGGTGCCTCCTGATGTCCAGCGGTCCCTGGCCAGGCAGACTGGGTGCTGGCCCAGCCCTTCCCCCCACCCCAAAGCTGCTCCCCCAGCCCCTGGCAGCCAGCGAGGCCAGCTAGCCAGGCAGTGGCTCCCTCCCTGGCTACATGAAGCTGAGCTCAAAGACCTGGAACTGGGCTGGGCGGGAGAAGGCTCCACCTCCACATCTGCTGCTTGTGCAGCTGTGAGCCTGGCGCCCGGAGCTGCGGGCTCCCGGCAATGCGGGAGCAGTTGGCCCCGGGCCAGCGAGGGGGAGACCAGCTGTCCCTTCATTCCTTGCCTCCCACACACCCAGCCCTGTGCCCGGCAGCCTGTGATGGGGCAGGAGAGCGAGGAGGAAGAGGAGACCCAGGGCCTGCCCTCAGTCTGGCTGAGACGATCAGACTCCTCATGTAGAACAAAAGACAGCCCGGGGGGGCCAGGGTGGTGGCTGGGGCTGGGGCTGTCCACTGAGGCTTTCGGCCCTGGAGGTCGGGTCTCAGGAAGGGCCAAGCTGGAGGACCCTGGGCCCGAGTCAGGAGTGGTGCCCCTGCTCCAGCTCAGCAGGCCCTACAGCCACCCCATCTTTGCAGGTGCTGGTTTGGCAAGAAGCCCGGCGACCTGGTGGACTACATCTACCAGGGCCCCATCATCCTCGTGCTCCTGGTAGGTTCTCAGTGGGGACTGGGACAGGCTGGGTGCCAGGAGACAGCAGAGGACCCACCTAGACAGAGAGGCTGGGAGAGGTGTGGCGGGGGCAACCCTCCTCACCACTCTGCGTGCCTCCCCCGTACCCTGCGCATGCCACCCCGCTTGCCGGCAGCACCCGACTCTCCCTTCCTCACGCTCAGTGCCCTGGTGTAGCTCTGGCCACTCTGGACCAAGGGCTCTTCCTCTGGGTGGATTTGTAGGGCTGCCCCAGGTCTGACGTCCCCTTGCTAGGTACAGCGCTGAGATGGCCAGGTGTGCAGGCAGCCCGTGGCAAGAGCAGAGTGTGCGGGCTTCTGTTCCATCCAGACCTACATTCCCCTCTTCCCCTAGACCCTCCCTGGGGCAGCCCCCCGCCCCCAGCCTGGAGCACCGACACCAGAATGAAGCGTGATGAGCAATTGTTCCTTGCCCAGCTCCCCGCCCTTTGCCAAATGTATTCGTGTCTAAGGTATAATTGCCGCCACGTTTTTAGTCCACAACGAGCTTTAATTAAGATAGAGTTTAAGTAGAGGCTGCATTTTGCAAAAAAGAACGCATTATATATCATACATTTTTAAAAAACGACACACAAAAAAGCCCCATAAGAAATTGGCATTTACGTAAGACTTATTTCAGGCTCGGTAATTTCAGGCTTCTGTATGCACCAGTTTCCTTAAAGGGCCAAGGCTCCCTCTGGGAGGCTCAGAGAACTGTCCTCCTCTTGTACACAGCAGGTGCCTAATAGGGCGCTCTTTTGTCTGCCTTGGAGACAATTGCTGTTTATCTTTTATTTCCTTACTCTCTCCTCTTTGGACTTCTGGCTTCATGCAACCTGTCTTTGGAGCGGCCTCGCTGTGTGTGAACTGATGATGAGGAGGGTTGTCACTCACTGCCTGAAATCCCCCCACATACCCAGGGCTTCATTCCCTTCAGAGGCAGAAGCCAGGCCTCGGCAGCAGTTAGTGGGGGGAAGGATTGTCCTTGGACTTGCAGCTGCAGTGAGTCACTGACCCCCAGAGTGAACGGGAACCCTGTGAGATCCGTCCTCTCTCAGCCAGCTGCCAGAGCCCGGCCACCCTGGAGGGATGGCCCTTGGTGAGCCTGGGACACCCCCTAGGAAGGCTGGCCCACCCAGTGACGGCTGGGAGTGCGCCCCGACTGTACGGATGGTGGCAGGTGGTGAGGAAGCAAGAGGAGGGAACACAAGGCACGAGAGGGAGGGTCCAGTGTCAAGACCTGCCCCCACCCCAACGCCTTCCCTTCCACACCCTCCTCTGCTCAGGAGCCCTTTGCTTGTCCTTCCTTTGGGCCCAGCTCTTTACACCGACAAGGGCTTCCAGGTTCCAAGCTAAACCCTCCGGAAGCTCCCTGTATGTGACTTCCAATCCTCACGTCCCCGATGCCTGAAAGAAGTAGGGAGTTGCTCCCCATTTTCCAGACGAAGAAGCGGAGAGAGATGCAATGGCTTGCCCAAGGTCACCGCTGCTAGCTAACGGAGCCAAGGCTCAGGGACAGATCTCCTGCCTGTCCCCGCCACCAGCTGCTGTCCTCTCCGTTGGATACGTGTCCCTGCCACCCCCGCCCTCCCGGCGGTTCACAGCTACGTTTCTGCTGCTAAGAGACACTCACTTATTTCTGGGTTCTGAGAAGTGGTTGAGTTTGCAGGAAGCCTGGCTTCTTGCTGGTTGTAGTCACCGTTGTTGTCATGGGAAAGGATGTGGCAGTCATTAGGCCAGACACGAGGCTTGGTGCTCTCCGGGAGTGTTCCAACCTGTGCTGATCTTCCAAGGCAAGCCCTGTGGTTATCCCCCTTGGGGCAGGTGAGAAAGCAGAAGCTTGCAGAGGTTAAGCAGCTTCCCCAAGGCCACACATATGCAAACTGAGCAGCAAGATCTGAGCCATGAGACCGGGACTCGGTGGTGCCCCGGGTCCCTTCAGGAGGTGGTCCTCATCTTCAGTTCTCAGCTCGCACGCCATTTCTCCAGGTCTTTCTGAACCCTTAGGAGACATTCAGTGTCACCCCCAACCAGGGTGCAAGCCCTCTGCATGGGCTTGTGTCTGCCTGTCAACTTCCCCATCTCTGGTGCCTGGCTCAGAGCCTGGTGCATTGCATTGATTCACTGAATGAGAGAATGATTAAATGAAACCAGAGACCAGGCTGCACAAGGTTGGGGCCTCATTGAAGAGCTAGGGTGTTTTCTTGAGTTGGGGAGGTGGAGCCCAAGAAAAGAGAGCTGGAGAGCTCAGTGTGGGCAGGGTGGCCAGAAGGCTCCCTGGAGAGAGAGGAAGGTGTCTGTGGTGTTGAGAAGGGGAAGGCTGGGACACAAGCTCGGAGGAAAGAATGACTTTCAGGCTGTGGAGAGCCAGGCTGAGATGGGTGGGGCAGCATCACTAAATGCTTGCCTAGTGTGAGCAGGGAGACAAAGGCCTTGTCTCCCAGGTGCTCTGCACTCGACCTTGTTCCTGCCCTTACCTCAGCACAAGGAACAGGGCCCTGTAGCCAACAGGTGTTCAGCAACCACTTGTTGACTGAATGGCTAGATGGAAGGATAGATAGATAGTTAAAAGAGTGGTAGGCAATTGAATGAATTGGTTGGTGGGTAGGTGGGTGGATGGATGGTTGGATGGATGGATGGATGGATGGATGATGGATAAAAGGGTGGGTGACCAATTGAATGAGTTGGTAGGTGGATGGTTGGTTGGCTGGATGATGGATAAAAGAATAGGTGGACAATTTTTTGAATTGGTTGGTGGGTATGTGGGTGGATGGATGGTTGGATGGTTGAATGGTTGGATGGATGGATGGATGATGGATAAAAGAGTGGGTGAACAATTGAATGAATTAGTAGGTGGGTGGATGGATGGTTGGCTGGATGGATGATGGATAAAAGAGTGGGTGGACAATTGAGTGAATTGATTGATGGGTAGATGGATTGATAAATGGATAGATGGATGGATGAATAAAAGTAGGTGGATAATTGCATGAATTGGTTAGGGGATTGATAGGTGCTGGGTGAATAATATTTAATGCAAGGAAATGTGGCAGAAATGAGAATATATTTTTATTCTAACAGTCTCTACTCTCAGATAAGTCAGAAAGAATCAGAAAAGGTCAAGTCCTTTTTATTACTTAGATGAAAAAATTAGGATTGACCTATGCGTTAAGGTGAACTGTGCCCCATGATCCAAGGGAATATGCCAGAAATGCAGGAGCTAGAAATTAGGTGAGCCTTAAGAGAAGGCAGTGAGTGGCAGGTCACGGCAGGCCCCACTGAAGGTTGCCCACCCCCAGCCCTTCCCCGGGCCCCAGGCCACACCGCCGTGCGGTGAGAGCAGGCCGTGGCTCAGGAGGGTCTGAGCCCTCCGTGAAAATCCTGTGCTGTCTGCCTGCGTCCCCCACCCGCACCCCCGCTCCCAGCCTGGGATTTAGAACTCAGGAGGGCCCAGCTCAAGCCTAAGAAGCAATGGATTCTCCAGATAGAGACTCGGAGGGGTGTGTGTGTCTGTGCACACACGAGTGAGCTCGCAGACATCCCTGGGCTTGTATGAGTCTCCGTGTGGCCCGTGAGCCCTTTCTTAAGAAGCAGTCCCAGAGGGTGAGGCCAGCACGCTCCATTCCTGCTGCTCTCACTGGAGGCAGTTGAGGAGAAACACAGGCACGCCGTGTCCCAGATACACACTCACGCTCGCACAAGTGCACAGAGCACAGGCCGCCGCAGAGCCACAGAGGGACGGACAGCACCCAGTCGCAGGCCCGCAGGCCGGGAAGCTGCTGGGAGCCGCACAGGCCGGTTCCAGGGTGGGGCGGCTCTGACACAGGGGGAGACTCCGAATGAAGATAAAGGAGGCCCTTCCCGAGCTCAGAGCCGGAGCAGCAGCCCCATTTGTCTTCCCTGCCTCGAGGGTGTCGGTTACACTCTGGAGTTCCTGGGCACGGGCAGGGCTGGGAGAGATTAATCACTAGTCGGGAACTGAGTTACCAATCGCTCCATCTGGCCTAGTCTGCCCTCTGCGCTGGGCTGTCCTCGGGCAAAAGGACCTCGGGCTGACCTAGAGCCAGTGACAGTGCGAGGGCCTCAGAGAGACCCTCAGTCAACAAGCGGGGACCCTGCAGCAGAGAGGGAAAGGGGCTCCCGTAGGGTCCCCGGAGAGGTGAAGAGGGCCGGGGACCTTCCGAGGACTGGGCCTCAGGAAGAGCAGCCCTTGTGCTCTCGGTCACCGTCTTTGGAGGCTGCCTTTCCCTCTGGCCTGGGTGGGAGGCAGGCCCTGGAGGAGAGAGGGTGTGTCCCCATCCTAGCGAGGGTATGGGAGAGAACAGGGGTGGGTGCATGGGGCAGGCTTTCAGGGCTCTGGGGGAGGCGGCTGCCTCTCAGCTTGTCCCCGGTCACGGCCACTCATTTTCCATCCTCCTCCCTCCTGCCAGATCAACTTTGTGTTTCTGTTCAACATCGTCAGGATACTGATGACAAAATTACGAGCATCCAGCACATCCGAGACGATCCAGTACAGGTGCGTGGGTGCGTGCCTTGACCCCCGGCCAGGGAGAAATGAGGAGGCCATTTGGGCCATCCCTCTGCCCCAGTCCTCACCAGGGAGCTGGCTCTGGTCCCCAGAAGAAACCCCGCCAGAGCACCTGCAGACGGCCCCACCTGAGTGAGGCTGCCTGCAGCGTGGGCTCAGACCTGTGCGGTCACCTCTTCCCCCAGGAAGGCGGTGAAGGCCACCCTGGTCCTCCTGCCCCTCCTGGGCGTCACCTACATGCTGTTCTTCGTCAACCCCGGAGAGGACGACCTGTCGCAGATCGTGTTCATCTACTTCAACTCCTTCCTGCAGTCGTTCCAGGTGGGCCCCCACCTTAGTGAGCCATCCTGACCTCACTAAGACGGCCACGTGGGCATGGTGCACCCATGGCTCAGTGTCGGGAGCATGAGATAGAACTTGAGCCTGGCCCCGTAACCACTGAGCTGCCCTGGGCTTCACCTGGCCCTGTCACCCCCACCCCGACTGGCCTGGGTCCCTCTGGCCTGCACCTACTGCTATCCTGGCCCCTGTTCTGAGGATTCAGGCAGCCCCGGCCCTGAGTGCCCTGGGCCAGGCCACACAGCATTGGGGAGCCTGGAGTCCCAGTCCTAGGCCTGAGACCCCTTCCCACTTGAGGGGACCCTGGAATATCTGCACCATGAGGGCTGGGGCCCCACCAGCTCTGAGTCAGAGCATCCCCCCACCCTGTCCCCAGCTCCAGCCCTCCAGGCACAGTGGCTCCCCAGGCAGGCCCCTGACCACGCCCCTTCCTTTCCAGGGTTTCTTTGTGTCTGTCTTCTACTGCTTCTTCAATGGAGAGGTACGAGCGGGACCCTCAGACCCCACTCCAGAGAGGTTCCAGTCAAGCTCCCAACCCTTCAGGAGTGCTAGGGTCCCTGGCCCTACCCAGCTCTGCCCTGGAGGAGGGAGGGGGAAGGCCTGAGAAAGCACCCCAGCTTAGGGGACCAGGAATCCTCCCTGCAGGGGCTGGAGCCAGTTAGGAAGGTCAGCGGTGCAGGCCCGAGAGAACATGCCAGCGCCCCATATGCACTCAGAGAGCTGGGTGAGCAGAGACCCCAGGCTGTAGGTCCTCCTGGAAGGGAAAAGGCAGAACAGAGATGGTGACAGGAGGAAGCTTCCAGAAAGAGGTGAGGTGTGTGCCATGCAATCAGGTCTTTATGGACTCAAGGAGCAGAAATGAGACCAGCACGTTCCCACACCCACCACAGAAAAGACGACACGCCCAGGGCGGGCTCTGGGGAAGGAGGCAGCTGGTGAAGCCTGGTTAGCTCTCGAGGCCCAGGGTCCCAGCCTGACCGACTCAAGAGAGATGTGCACGCCAGCAAGGACATGGGCAAGGAACAGACACAGTCCCCAGGGCCTGGGAGCTTCCAAACACTCCAGAGCAGTGCGAATGCTGCTGCCCCCGTCCCCCTGCCCCCTAGGCCGCCCTGCCTGCGTCTGCACAGGGCACTGGCGAGGCGTCTACACAGGCCTGGGGCCCTGTCAATGGAGGCTCGCCCCAGATGCTAAGCCCGTCGGTGGAGACTGGCTCTGCGGCTGGAGATAGGAAGAGGAGGAGCCACTAAAGCAACCCCACAACCCATGTTTACGGCACATTTATTCTGTTCAAAACACGTGCTAGGCTAGGATGCAGGGGACAGCATCCATTCTCTAGAAAAATCCTTCAATTACAGTACAAACGAGAACAAGGGGGCACCAGGTAGGATCAGGTTTAGAAATGACAGAACTGTGAGCTTTCCCTCTGGGGCAGCGAGTGCCGAGCGGGGCAGGTGCGCCCCTCAGAGGGCACAGAGGGGACAGGATGGTCAGTGGGGTGGGGGAGGGGGAGGCCGCCAGCCGTGTGAGCTGAAGGCACTGATTCTGGTCCCAAGGTGCTAAAGGTGCGGTGGCAGAGAGTCAGGGAAGGGAGGATAACGTGTCCAAAGGACACTGGATAATTCAGGGGACAGTGGGAGCAAAGGAAGCCTGGGGCCAGCCTCTTCCAGGAGAGGGGTGCGGAAGGGGAGCCCCAGAGAGAGGCAGCAGGCCAGGGGAAAGGACCTCGGTTTTGGAGCCTGTCAGCTCTTTGGTTCCAAGACAGAGGGCAGGAGCAGGAAAGGGGACAGTCCCAGAAGCCCAGGGTTGGCCTGCACGGCCGTTGAGCCTCCCTGTCCCGCAGGTACGATCGGCCATCAGGAAGAGGTGGCACCGCTGGCAGGACCATCACTCCCTCCGAGTCCCCGTGGCGCGGGCCATGTCCATCCCCACGTCGCCCACAAGGATCAGCTTCCATAGCATCAAGCAGACGGCCGCCGTGTGACTCCCTGGCCGCCCGCCCCCCACTGCTCCCATCCTCCCCTGCCCTCTGTGCTGTCCTTACGTGCAGGCTATGCTGGGGCAGGGGCAGGGAGGGCAGCCGCCAGGGCTCCAGCCCTCCCATCCTCCCCTGCCCTCTGTGCTGTCCTTACGTGCAGGCTATGCTGGGGCAGGGGCAGGGAGGGCAGCCGCCAGGGCTCCAGCCTGGCAGGGAAGAGGCGGCCCGGTGGCAAAAGGGGACTCCGTGGGACCAGGGCCAGCCGGGGCCACAGGCTCAGTGCGACAGGAGCAGGGGAGTCACAGGAGCCCCCCGAGCAGAGACAGTCGGATGTCTTCAGGCGTTGCCTATCCCGGCCCCTCTCGCCAGAGCCTCCCATAGCCCATCCACAGGGAGGAAACTGAGGCCCAGAGCGTGGAAGGACAGACTGCCGGCAGCCGGGCGGGGGCTTGGCCCTGCTCCCCGCCCTCTGCAGTCGGGTGGAGGCGCACCCTCGGGCGCAAAGACTGGCCTCACACCAGGGCTCTCACCTAAGGAAGCCTCACGTGTTCCCACCCCAGCCAGGCTGTCCCCCCAGCCCCTCCCCAGCCATCCTCCTGCCCCTGGGGGGCTCCGTGAAGGACGCTGGCTTCCGGGCCTGGGAGACCTCTCTGCCTGGTCCACTAACTGAGGCACGGGGAGGGGCGGGTAAGGGGGCAGACATGGTAGGTCAGGGCAGCCACATGCTTAGGCCAGCAGAACACAGAGTGCAGGACAAAATGATCTGAAGCTTGGGGCGCCGGTGGGGAGAAGGCGTGAGATGGGCACAGCAGATCCCACGGTGTATCTTTGGAGGTTGGAGCCAAAGCCCAGCGCCCCTCCCCCAGACTGGCTTCAGCCTCCCCTCCAGAAACATCTCTGCTCTCTGTGAAATAAACCACACCTCTTGGAAGTGGCCTCCCGACAGGTCAAGACAACTAGGCATCGGAAGGGTGGTGTGGGCTCAGGACCACCCGGGGTCTGCGGGCCACATCCTTCCTGCTTAGTGGAGACTCTGCCCTGGCCCGGGGCCTGTTCCTCCCTCTCTGACCTGGTAGGGCTGGGTCTTTATGGACAAAGTGCCTGCAGGCAGGTCTGTCCTTATCACTCACCCAGGCTAACATGTGGCCCCAGCCCCCAGCCGAGGGCAGTTTAATTCCGCACAGAGCAGGTGTGCAGCTCACCTGGTGCCAGCGCCTGTCTCCAAGGCCAAGGTGCTGGAATGTGGTGGGAAGGGCGCAGGAGCCCCTCAGTCCCCTGAGCAACAACCAACAGGGCAGCTTCCCGGTGTGGCTTCCCTCCCCGTTCCCCAGGAGAGTGCAGGAGGTGAGCTGGGGAGACGCCAGCAAGGTTCCAAGGGGGCTTCTGCTCTAGGTACCCCTGCAAAAATAAATTTTGAAAAATGATGTACCACATCTTGTATGTTTTTAAGTTGACATCTGATGTTTTTTACTTAAGTTTTTGTTTTTTGAGACAGAGTCTCACTTTGTTGCCCAGGCTAGAGTGAGTGCCGTGGCGTCAGCCTAGCTCACAGCAACCTCAAACTCCTGGGCTCAAACAATCCTTCCGCATAAGCCTCCCGAGTAGCTGGGACTACAGGCATGCACCACCATGCCAAGCCAATTTTTTGTATATATATTAGTTGGCCAATTAATTTCTTTCTATTTTTGGTAGAGATGGGGTCTCTCTCAGGCTGGTTTCGAACTCCTGTCCTTAAGCAAGCCGCCCGCCTTGGCCTCCCAGAGTGCAAGGATTACAGGCGTGAGCCACCGCGCCCGGCCTTTACTTAAGTTTTAAAAGGTGCAGAGGATGTGATTTCTGGCATTTGGTAGATATTTACATTTTGAAACAAAACTGCCACAACACTTTAAACTCTAACAAATGGAATCTAAACACAGCGATTAAATACCCACCCTTATCTGTTTTAAAAACACGTGACCCAGCTCTTATTTGATGATTGGAAATGTTACATTGTTCCCTTTCTCTTTATTGTGTCTTTATTTCATTGCCCCTGTAGAATTTTATGCTAATGCAGTATTTTTATGGTTGAAAATCTTTTATTGCTTACCTATCATACTTCTCTGCTGCAAAATATATTTACAAATTGAAATTAAAATATTTCATTTCCTGTGACTAGAGGTTCTAAGGGTTTTTTAAAAAGTCTTCTGGATTGAGTTATTACACCTATTTTTTTTACTATAAAAATGTAATGAACAATTAATTTAAACATAGATATTGAACATTTTTTATAAGTAATCATTAAACCTGAAAAGGAAAATTTCTTCGAAACACATCTTAATGAAATGGATAGGCATTTAATTGCTCATGAATCTATGGGTGAATATTTATTGCTAGAATGAATCAGGACTCAGCATCAATTCTTTCCCCTTTTTTGTTGTTTATAGCTGCTCGAGCTAAGAAGCCTTTTCAAATAAATAAGTAGATGATCGAGCAATGTCACTCAATTCTGTACACTCCTTCTGAGATGTATGACCCAAATTGCAGTGATCTGTCCTCAAAAATGATCTGTCAGTTGGCCATTTGATTAAGTCCTCTTTAAATTTGGCTGAAAAAAAAAATGAATTGAAAATTATCAGACCTGCAGTAGGCTTCACTGCCCATGACTTCTGCTCATCCGTTTCTCCCGGTGACCCCAGCCAGAGCACGGTGGGCTGCATGCGAGCCCTGCTTCTGGGGCGTGGGGACCCCCCCATATTGTTTTCTCAGGAGGCAGGACACAGGGGTGTCTTAGAAAGTCTTCCTGTGCACGCAATGGCTGAGTAATGGCGCATCCACGAGCATTGTGGGGGCTCGAACAGAGCAAAGAGCTGCACATGGCTTGGTCCTGAGAGGCCACTCGGAGAGCTGTCAGGAGAGACTGAGTGGGCACTCTTCAGAGCAGACGCCACAGAGCCTTGGTGTCACGTCCCCAGCCACTCATCGCTGCTACTCAGATACAGCCCTTGGCATATTATCCCGCCTGTCCTCTGCTTCCTGGAGGGGCCAGGGCCTGCCCAGGGGTCAGAGTCGCTAACCTTTGTGCAGCAGGGGGTATGACCTGCTCCAGCTCCGGTTCCCAGGAGGCTCCTCCTTGGTCCCACCCCGATCCCCTCACTCCCCAGGCTCCTGGCCCTGGCCCCAGCCAAGCTCTGCCCTTGAAATGCCACCGGAGCCATTAGGCCATCGCTCTGGGTCCCCGCTCGTTAACCTCGTCAGGCACTTGTTCGTTGCCACCAAGCCAGGCCTCATTAGCGCTGGCCTCAGCGCTGGCAGCCCTTCCCTGAGCTGGCTTTCCTGGAAAGTGGCCTCATTAGCACACTGCCCTTCTCCACAGTAGGCAAGTTCCAGCACCCAGACCCCGTGGGCGCTCAGGTCCTCGTGTTGAACCCTGTCACCCACCCTGATGTACAAAGCCGAAGACGTGGGCCCACTGGGGACCCGCACAGCAGTCTCCCGGGCCCACTCCCAGGGAGGGACCATGGCAGGGCCCTGCCCCCAGCACGCCCCGAGCCCTGGGCCATCATCAGAGCCAGGCAAGAAAGCGCCTGCTGGGCCACAGGCCGGTACACGACACACATGGCAGCAGGAGTGGCAGGTGACGGAGCATCTGTGGGGCAGGAAGGGAAAGGTGAGGATGACATTTCCCTCCTCAGGGCCACGTGCAGGTGCTGCCCGAGGGAGGGTGGCTGGCCAGCAGTGGCCTTACATGCAGCCGAGACACTCACAGAAGATGCCAGCACCCAGACGTCCTCAGAGATGCAGGCACACCCTGGGGCCACAGGGAGGAAGGCCCAGATGGACACGACATGTGTGTGAACATGGACAGGCCCCTAGGAACACACGTGTAGATCCAGAGACGGAAACGCACACACATGCCTCCGTCATTCGTTCCCCATCTACAGAACAGCACGCTGCGCCAGGTGTGGAAATAGCAGGACTATGACAGTGTTCTTGCTCCAAGAAACTCAAAATCTAGTTGAGAAGTAAGGGCCCTGAGAACAGGGCAAGGTACACGTAGCACAGGATTGGTGCCTCTGCGTCTCCACCCGGCTGGGCCTGTCCGCATCCATCTCTGCACGTCACATTGGGGCCCACTGTGGGCAGGTGGGCCCAGCGGCCTGCACCTGTCCTCACGCCCTGGCTCTGCCCATCTCCAGCCCTCACCCATGGTGGCCCCAAGCCAGACAAGGTGCTGGGCACAAGGACGTCAGCTGACCTCCCCTCTTCTTTCCTCTGTCCCATCATCCAGGCCTGGGCCTCCCACATGGCGGCACAGGGGAAAGTGTTGGGGGAAGCCCAGCTATGCCATTCTTGCTTCCCTGGGTGTCTTCACGGGCCCATGGCAGGTGGGGGCACACGTGGCGAGGCAGCCAGATGGGAAGGGGGCTGGTCTGTCCTAGGAGGGAAAAGGGCACACTCGGGGGAACAAGGCATCCCGTGCACGTGTCATGGGGCTGGGGGACCAGGCCTGCGTCAGTGAGGCCTTTCCTAGAGTGACATTTCAGCCACTGGGGGAGTTTGGAGGTTAAGAACTATCCCTCAGTGGAACTGGTGGCTGGGGTGGCAGTGCGCTCTAGCAGGGAGTCTGGCCAGGGGCCACTGCTGGGAGTACACCTGGGCTATCATCGGGACCAACTCGGTGGTGCTGGAAGGTGCTGGAAGGTGCTAGAAGGCACTGGAAGGCAGGCTTTGGGTATCAGGCTAGGTGGGGTCCAGGAGTCTGCACTTCTAACAAGCCCCCTTGCCTGGGGACTCGGACTGCTGTGGCGAGGGGCCAGTGAGCAAGCAGACATCCCTCATTTCTTCTTCCCGCACACAGTGTGGACAGTGAGGTGCGGAAAGTAAAGGTGAGTGATTTGCCTTTCTGGAAAACTCTCAGGGAAGGCAGCTACAGCAGGAGAGGAGGAGATGCATTTAAAACATGTAAATTTACTCATCAGTATGCCCAGTATGGTTTCGGGCGCTGCCCTGAAGCTACCACGAGTGTTCCTGAGGGGGCTGCGCCACCCAGGCACGAGAGGGAGAGTCCGCGCTCGGCCTCCCTACCCCGCCGCGCCCAAGCCGGAGGCCAGCCCAGACTGAGCCCCACCTTCAG